AAAAGAATCAATCGCAACGTCAAAAATCGAAATCCCGACCCAACCATCTTCATTGCCTAAATTTCTTGCAAAGCCAGAAACTGAATTCTCGACTTCACTGGCGCCATCACCAGCAGAATCCACCAAGAAGTTAGAAATCAATGTTTGGGCTCCGTCATCTTTGCCAACAATGGAATCTGTTTCATCAGAACCAAAAACTGAAGGCATATCACTAGCATCCGAAATGGCAAAATCGACAACTGGGACGTCATCCATACCGCTATCATCGAGTAACGAAGAGTCGAAGCCAACATTAAAGTTAACAAAATTAACATGTAGTGCAACGAGAACGCCGACTGAATCAAAGCTAAACAATTTGATGGAAAAGGGTCTGCTGTCGCTTGAAATCCGTCAAAAGAAAGAAATGGAAATTAAGAAATTGAAAACTGAAGATACTTCCGCTGTTGCTACAAAGGATAAAACATCTGCGAAAACAGCTGTGTCACTCGCGAAAGCAAATTTGAGCCCTGGAGACGATCAGAAAGTAACTGCGACCGCAGAAGAGTCTGAATCATCGACCAGTGACACTCAGGATTCTGGGGAAGAAAAAAAGTAATCGAAAGATGTAAGTGGGACTTACCAGATGAAAAGGAATTTAAAAAATTAGTAACGTGAGCTCTATAAAGTTTAAGAGGTTGTATTTCTTTAAAAAAAAAAAAAAGAAAAAAAGAGGGGGGAGAAAACAGTGCCTATCGAATCGGAATGAAACTAGTTTTTTCTTCTTAAATATTGAAAAAGATGTAGAAAAGTCGAAATAAATCTGGCATGAAGTTAGCATATTTTTAAAATTTAAACTCAAATTTTAAAAATGTGATGTGAAGTGTATGGAAATTTTTCAAAAATGTGAAGTATTTGAAGTACACAGAAATACAGAAAAAAAACGAAAGAGTAAGAGGAAGAGAAAAGATAAATTGTGCAAAGATTTTGATAAATTATAGATTCAAAATTTGAAATCTAGAAGATATTATGGAATTAAGCGGGTTTTACGAAACGCTCACATGACAATTTAGTTCCGTACGGATACATACAATCGAACCTTATCCTGAATGCCGGAACAATTCCGATGACATTCCGAACACCCTACCTTCATCAAAAATGCTTCTTTCAGACGGAGTATGATTGAAATAAGCGAAAACTTCCGACAGCAATCGATTCAACCATTTTTCCAGCATTTAAATCGTCGAAAAAAAAAAAAAACGTTGAAATCTATTTTTACTTCATCACTTGTAAATATACAATTAAATGTTGAAATGGAACATAAATTACCAAGGTAAAAGATTCATACGGAATATGTTTGACGAAACACGCATGCAAACGGTTGTTCATGAAATTAATCAAACATTTGATTTAATATAGCTAGCTTTAAGCAGCTACCCTTTGACCTTAGCAAAATTGATTTCTCAACAAAGAGAAAAAAAAAAACAAGATTTATTACATGAAAATCGTGCTATATTCTAATTTTGGAATAAATAATAATTAAAAATTTTAATCTTTTGTAATATTGATTTCTTCCACGGAACCAAATGCTTCCATTGATTTCATACCTTGAAAAGTCAACAAATTAGGATTGCTCTCGTATGCATTTGGCTTTGATCCACCGCTATTCAATGATATCGTCCTTTCCATATTTGTAGTTGGCATACTGTGACGAAAAAATTATTAATATTAGGGTTTTTATAATATGGCATGTTGAAAGATAGCAATATTGATTGGTTTTGGAATATGTATTCTTCTAAACAAATTCAAGTTAATTATTAAAAAGAAATAAATTTTAAGGTTATAAGCATACTTTGCCAAACGTTGATCATTCAATGCCCATCCAGAATATTGCCGATCCAAAATTTGCTGCTGAACTTCATCTGGTAATTCATCGAATCTTTCTAATACAACCATTTCACCAATTTTTCTTTTGAAACTATAAAAAAAAATTTTTTTTCTCTCAATTAAAATTAACTAAGAGAAGTTTATTAAGCTTGAAAATGCTTACCTTCCTTCCATACGTAAAAGATTTGCATTTAGTAAATTTAAATGATGATATTTGCATGCAATTTCGAAATGTTCAAGCATTGTTGTTGGTGATAATGTAGGCTCTAATGCCAACATCTTCAAAAAACATAAAAAAAAAAAAATGTAATAATTAATTTTAAAATTGAAATTTTTAATTAATTCTCATATAAATTATTTTAGCTTAAGTTGATATGATTTGATTATCTAAATTTTAGAATTTATATCTAATGAATTCATTTCAATATTTTAAAATAAATACTCAATCGATTAGATAAATTATAATTAAAGTTAAAAATGTATATGCTAAAAATATCACAAAGATATTGTGCATTTTTTTCTTTTTATTTTACAAATAATTCCTTGACAAATAATTTCTTAGCTAATAAAGTAAAAAAAAAAAAAAGAAGTTATTATTTATTAGGAAAATTAATAAAACGAATAACTTCGCATAAACTATTCAATAATCGTTTCATTCCATGTTCCTCTGCCAATAACATCATTGGTCGAATATATGGCCCAGGAATGATTGTTTGGCTCGGATACATATGTTGTAACATTTTCAGGATTAAATCCATTATGGTGATACCTGCCTTAGCGCAAGATGTAGCCAATTTTGATGTTATTCGTAAAAAATATCCACCTATAAAAAAAAAAGGTTAAACATTTTAAAAAAAGAAAAAAATTTCGTGCAAATATTTAAATGAATTAATTTAAATATTGAAATAAAAATTTTATTTTTCAAGAAAATTGAAGAATGTTAAATGGTTGTTATGAAATTATAAAATTTATAAATAATTGTTTGAAAAAAAAAATCTTTTTGAAATCAAAAAAATAAACAATCAAATTGACCTTGTAAATTTTCCAAAATATGCAAATTATATAACGATAATATTCCTTTGTTTACGTATAATGTTTGACCTGGTACCAATAATGCTACAGTATACGGATGTTGTTGTATATGGAAATTAAATTGTGAATTTGATAAATAAGGACTGATGCCTAAGCGATATTGTCGAGCCTATAATTTATTAAATTTTTATGAAATTTTCTTTTTTTCAAAATTTTGTGACAATTAAAATGAAAACAATTTAAGGGAAAAAGAAGAAAAAATTTAAACGAGAAAAAAGGAAAATTTAAACATTTAAATATTTTAAAATATACTTTAATTATTGCCGGGCAAATAATACGATGATAAATTTCGGTACCAAGTGATTTTGGTTCAAATCCTTGTTCAATTAAATCTCTCCATATGCCTATATATTATGATTTTTTTTTTTTGCATCTTTCATAGTTTTCATAATTTCAGTATTTAAATTTCATTGCCATTTTTTGTTTTAATTGTTATTTTAGACTAAAAAAAAAAAAAATAACGTATATTGATTTGAAAATACAGTAATCGTTAAGAAATATTTACTGATCATTGACCTCGTTGTTCGGCATCATAAACTAATTCGATAAGTGTTTGATCTAATTCCAATTGAATAGCTAATTGAAATTTGGATATTAAATCCATCTGGAATGCATTAAGAAAAAGAAAAAAAAAGTTTGCATTATTTAAAAAAGCAATAAGTTTTTGTTTGAAAAATTGTACAAAATTTTAAAAATTAATTCAAAAAAGAAACGAATCTTAATTAATTCAATTTATGGCTTATAAATAAGTTAATGATGCTTAATTGAAAATGTAATACGCTAACAGGAAACTGTAATGATTGACTAATAAATATTACAATTTTGAAATACTGAAACAATATGCCTATTTCTTTTTGCATTGATAGTAAAGATGTACCTCCTGATATATCTAAAAAGATGTACCTCCTGATATATCTAAAAAGATGTACCTCCTGATATATCTAAAAGATGTACCCCCTGATATATCTATAAAAAGAATTTCAAAAATATCAACCATTTTAATTATTTCATTTTGATTGCTTCATTTGATTAAGCTAGATATTATAATATACCTTGGTCAAATTTATGTCATATAATATGGAATAAGTAATGAAATAAGTAAAAATAACAAACTAACATCAAGATTAGATATAAATTTAGTGATTTTAGTTAAAATCACATCAGCCTTATAACTTATTGCTGCTCTTGAAAGCGCAAAAAGATTAGCGGAAATTGGTCGACTAGTACCATAAATTTGATAAAGTAATTCCATGAAATCATTACGATTAAACAAACACATATCAATTAAAGCATTTGGTGCAGCATCATGAAGCATTGAGGCTATAAAAGAACAAAAAAAAAAGAAAAATTAAAATTTTACAAAATTTTAATTTTTAATAAATAAAAAAATTTCATTTAGTTTCGTGCAATTTTTAATAAAACTAAAAGTAATCATTATTTTCAATTAGTTAAAAGATTAACAACTTAATAACTAGCATTAAAGTAAGTAAGAATTAATTACAATTAATGATTAAAATTATTGAATTTGCTAATTAATATATTTTACTTTCTTTTATTACTACAATAATAAAGAGATAATTTTTTAGCCTAGAAATTCTTATTATGAAATATTTCAAATCATTTGATGAATGTTAACCAAACAGTTAGGAATAAGTAATTTTATCATCATTTAATCCAATATTAATTATCTTAATTACCCATATAACGTGAATGTATAGCTAGCAATGCTTTATCAACGTATAATTTCTCATTTTGTTCAAATAATAATATTACATCACCACCATTTTGAAATATCGGCAAATGCTCATATAACTGCAAAAATGTTGTAATTTTTTTTTAATTAAATTTTCTCATACCATTTCAATAATCTTTTAATTTTTATTTTTCAAATTTAAATTTCGTAACAAAAAAAAAAAGAAAAAGAAGACATTAATTAAATCCTAAAAAATTTATTATAGCTATCTAACATTAAAGTAAGTAAGAATTAATTACAATTAATGGTCAAAATTATTGAATTACTAATTAGTACACTTTGCTTTCTTTTATTATGATGATACTTTTGACTATAAGTTATATGCATGACCTTTGATCATTCATAGAATAATTAATTAGTAAAATTTACCTTATTTACTATTCGCATTTCAAATTTAATTCGTTTTACTCTTCTATCTGTTACATCAAATGATAATGGCGCTATACGATTACCAAATTCAACTAGCAATTTATCTACTACACGTACTCCTTGTTGCTTTTCGGCTAAAAATATAAAACATCAAAAAAAAGTTTTAGGAAAGATTTAGAATAGCTATCCTTTAATCTCATAAAATAAAAATTTTTTATAACACTAAAAATCAAATGAGTTATTAATTAAACAAAGAAAAAGGTAATTATTAACAGTAAAAAGTAGTCATCAAATAATGTAATTATAAGTTACATGCATGACCTTTGATCAATGTGATCTTTGATCATTGATCAATCCTATATGAGAATAATTTTACGTAATACGCAATATAAACCTACATAAATGTTATCAAATAAGTTCATTTACATTGAAATTCAATTTTACATTAAATAATAAAAAAAAAGAAAAAAACGAAAATGTAAGCAGGGAAAAAAAATTTACCACTTCCTGTTTTTACTCGAAGTTGTACCGTATATTTCCATTCTGAAAGCTCATATTGTGCACGACCATAGAGTAGCACTTTTGGATTGCCTATCTAACAGAATTAATTTTTTTTTTATTTTAAATTAATCAAATGTTAATTTAGTAGGATAGGAAAATTTTAATTATATGTGGTACGAAAGGTAAGT